GTGGGAGGCTTCGCCGATTTTCTTCTCACTGGAACTCAGGTATCGCGTTGAGCATCGTGTCGATCACTGAAGTGGACGGCTCAGTAGTCTGGCTAATTGGCTCCTGTAATGACGATTTTTCAGTGAGTGTCTCGATGAGCTTCAACTGCGCCAGCTCAAACTGTTGCTGCTGCTGCCTGAGGAGAGACTGCATCTGTTCGAATGTCGGTGTTGTATCTTGTGCGGTGGCCGAGCTATTGGTTACGCCTGCACTGAGCCTGTCAGACTACGCGATAGGGAGAAGACAGAGAACTGGGGACACGGCTGTATTGCCAGGACAAAACATACAGAACGTCTGCGTAAATATATAGGATGACTAATTGGGCAAATATGCTCGTTCACTTATTCGCTCCGTACAGCCAATGGTGGTGTTCCGGTCGTGAACATTCTCAGGTCCACTACGCTGGTCGTGTGCTGCTAAGCTGTGTTTGGTGGGAGACGCCGACTCACCTACTTTCCGGACGTGTCGAAACGATAATGACCTTGGGGATGTGTCACTCTCTGCACATGTGCTTTTTCTTCTGTCTGGGCGCGCCCTGACATTCGACAGTACGCTTCCCAGTGTACACCACGCACCCTACCCAAATGATCATTTGCATGGTAACAGTTGTACCTTAGTAACGACGGTGAGTAGCATGTCGCCCATACCTGTCGATTTGAGCCAAAATGAACAAAGCTTTGATGGGTAGCCAATATTTTTCCATCCGACATGTTACTGCACTCCGCCAATAGTACCCCGGGCGCCAAGAAGCGGGGTTAGACGAATCCGTTTGCGACCGAAACCGTTCTCTATAACGTCTAGCACGAATTCTCGGAACGAACACCAGATCATCAAGTCATGAGGTAGGAAACAAACTAGTTGATGAGAGAGAGACAAAAAAGGTTGATGTGATTGGGATGGCTAATGAGAAGGCGAAACACACCATTAGTTTCCAAATAATGTCACACACTTTCATCGACCGACACGAGCCTGATCGGCGAGAGTTACGATGGTTAACGATGGCAATCAGGTGGCTTTGATGAAATCAGACGTGGAAATGAGACTATGGAGAGAATCGCACACTAACTTACACAAGGATGATCGGATGTCGGTCAATAAATTCTTCGCCGATTAAAATGGATGGACCTTCAGCCTGCACAATCTCTATCGGGGTGTGAAGTGCGTTTGCTAGGGCACGCACCTAGAGAAGTAAAAAGACAGCAAAATGAGATAAAACGGGAAATCGCACTCAGATTAAGCTCAAATGATTCCTCATTTGGTGGTAATTACACAACGTGGACACTTCCACATCACCAACGCGAACTTTTATAGGGCTGTGCAAAAAGAAGATAGAAGGTATGTATTTACTTAAGTTAACACACCCATTCCATGAGAAATTTCGTGATTATCCTCCAGAAATGGCCTACCAAAAATTCATAAGCTAGACGTCCCGGCGAGACCCACCCCAACTAAATTGTCGTAACACTCATAAGCCCATGAAGATCAAAGACATCTACCGGTGGCGCTCGCGGTGAATCATCAAATGAAGCATCTTGAAATGAAAGACAAAGGAACCAAACCGGACCAAACCACAGACCATCGGCGCAATATTTTGGCAACCAAATTAACCGACGAGAGCCGTTGATAGACACTCAACATTGATCTAGTGCGCTAATATGAAGAGGTCTTGCTGATTGGCTCTCCGTCCCCTTAAAACTTAACCAACTCAATGACCTGTTCACCCGGTCTGATGAAACTTTTGTATCAAAAGCGAAACGTTGCCCAATTAAAAAAATACCAACTGTTTACCAAGTTCTTCTGAAACGATGACTTATCAATCGGTTCCAAACTTTTCCCAATTGAGTGAAAACAACTACAAACCATGTATTCGCATATTGTCAGGTGACTACGTTTGACTGGCAAGGCTAGAGGCGAACTGGAAGAACCACCGCATATTCAATAAAAGATGCTTGAAGTGCAACCCGATCCCCATAAAAAGCAGAGAACGCACAAGGTTGCTGAAAACATGAGGCGGCCTTTGTGCAGCACATTCAGTTGAAGATTATCATTAACAAGAGATTCAGCTGAGTCCTCGTGAAAAACAAGTTGATTTTCGAATGAGTGCATTTGTCTAATCCCCACATTCTACTGATAAAGTCACCCGACACGTCACTCGCTTCCGCTCGAATAGCATCTTCAGCGGCCAAGTCATTCCTCAAACAGAAGACCCAATTGACTATTCGGCGTTTATCTGATATTCGTCACCACGCATGCCGGTCTAATCAAGATCTCCATACAGTGCTCCCGCCCACAGGCTTCCAGTTACTCCAAACCAAAGCGACAGAAGTGAAAGCCATCCATGGACAACATTGCAACTAGTGAAAATCCGTAAGTACGAAAAATTATTTTCTAAGACTCAGCATTCTACTGAGCCGACAAATAAGCCTGAGCCGCCCACTAGCCATTGTAGCGTGGGAAATTTATCAAACAGACTGATAAAAGAGGAAGTGCTTGATTTTCACAGTGAGCGAAAGGGTGGTAACGGCGGGAGAAACAACCCATAGCTTTGAAATTGTGTTTCAAAAACTTCCGCCAACGAACGGAGGAAGGCCCGGATACAGCTGGTCACAGTTCTTAAGTCTTGTTGGGACGCTGGATACTTCTGATGAGGAACGCGAGCAATATGTTTTCTCGAAAGTCCGATTCGCGTGTTTTGAAAAGTGGGATTTATTACGGAATTTGTGGAATCGCTTTGAAGCATTCGTTTACATTCGAGTGATGGTCAATGAATATCCAGGAAAGTTCAGGAAGGCGCGTTTGAGAATAAGACGGATATTCAGTTTTTATGAACAAGATGCATATGAGAGTCTTGCTTTCCAATATTCCGTTCAGTTTTCTAATAAATAACTCCACAGCGAAGGCCTTCGTCCTTTCACTGGTAGATAGAAGCATTAACGTTGCATCGGCAGAGCGAATAGCGTTAAACAGGTGGAGAACATAGTGATTACAAAGGCGGATAAGGGTAACACCTCTGTTGTCACGAACAAGAGTGATTATCTACGGGTATAGTGGCCCAAACAGTGATGAGTGTGTTCTCACCATAACCGCAAACTAATCCGCATGTTTATCTTATACAGAAGTAGCTCCTGGAAACATAAATGTAGAGACTCACCTCTAGTTGACCACCCCAGGTGGAAGGTTTCTCAATGTCATCGCAATAGTTAAAAAACTCATCTGAAAGAAGCAAAGAAGCGAACATTTAACCTAGTTTTTTAAAGACAGTAAGATTGGCGAAGCCAGTGAAGATCTATGAAATAAAGAGCGTCTTACGATCAAAAGGTGCTAATTCGTTCTCTATAGACCAGCTAGTGTGCGACAAATATGCAAACGGGCGAACGTCTATGAACGCAAAAATGAGTTGTTCAGTGCTCCGAAAAAGTGACAACGATGTTTGTCAATGGGTGATTCACATGCTGGTTAAAAAACATACTGAGTTCCGAAGCGAAGGACTATAAGATAATCCAAATTTTGATCAGTGAGACGACAGTGTGGGATGGCCCTGTAATCTTAATGCACTGATACCATAGTCTTGTGGATTCCGGGGCTTTAATTCCGAGGGAAAACGTTGTGTAATGATTGACAGCCGTTCAATTATGATGAAGAGAGCATGGGTAGCCCCATAATTTTGTCACGGGATTTATATGACACATGTATTTTATTCTTCTGGAAAAGATACTCCCCAAGAAGGAAGACAAACTGAATGGGATTTGCTCGGATGTTACAATGGGTGGTACGTTGGACGACAGAGCCGGGAAGAAGCACAATTAGGTCGAAAGAATCAAGTTAGACAGCCCGCGAATGTTCTTAACATATACCACATCTTGTATTACTTTGTAGGTCCCCATTCACCTACACACTTGACTGTTCAGCTCACAGTCGCCCATTGGATCACGAGACTTGTCTTTTTTTCATACTCGCATACCACGTCACACTAAGGTGTCCTATCAGACATCGATTGTCGGCACCGTCTGGTGAGCGTAGCAACAACTCATGTGCTAATAGGGAAACCGAACACAGTCGACAAACAGACTCTCTCGCGCGCGCAGGGAGCAGAAGTCAACCTCTCCACAAGTCCACGGACAATTATGGAACACGTGTAGCAGTCGCACTGCGGAGAAAAACACGTTTCCCCCGTCCGGACTTCCACCAAGGAACTCTCACAGACGATAAGTTCATTTTTTGACTTGCTCCCATTTTCGCAATGTATTTATCCTTGTACGTGTTGCAACCCACCACTGTCAACCGTGCTAAAAACTTCTATTAGTGCATACACCTTCTGATTTGTGTTATGGCCAACCTTTCGAGTTCATCAAGCTTCTCTGCATTGACATTCACTTTCACCTGGCATCGGACGATGCGTTGGGTAGAGCTACCTGAAGTAAGGTGGAACCTGTCACCGGGCCTCCAGCAAAACCACGGTTCCATGAGAGATCCAATGTTTGGATTATTCTGGCCGGGTTGTACAACACGCAGTGGTTCTGGATTTTAGTAGTGCTTTAGATATCTGTTCTCCGTAACCGTTATTATCTGCAAACCAGTCATGGACCATGTGGCTGTCAGCTTTAATTGAAGATTGCCGATCATGTCATTATGGGGACTCGGCTCTCATTCCACTTTCTATCAGCATCACGCGTGCTAAAGCAGAACAACTACATTCACCAACTTCGACGGCTTTCAGGTAGCCTAACAGTATCGAGCTTATCTAACTGGAAAGCCGCTAGAAACACAGTCACATTGTTGACAAAGACCGCTTGGAAGTTTAATGGGGGTGAATTAAAGAAGCTATGTCCGCAGCCTCTATAACTGTCTTCCCAAGCCACCCGGCCCGACGAAATGGACACTTGATGTTGCCATCAGCAGATATTATTGCTACCAGGAAAGCCGAACCACTGTAGTGGCGTATACCAATGATGAGAAATCCAAGTAGTCTGTGGTCGTGTCAAAGCTCCGCCCCACGTCTAATGGAAGATGAAGTTTACTAGGAACATGTGGAACCGCTTTGCAGTGTTCGTTTACAATCGTGTATTGGTCAATGAACATCCATAAGAGTTCAAGAAGACCCGTGAAAATGTTCGGTTTTCTAAAACTATGTGCAATAAGACGTTTACTTTCCTGTCCAACGGCTTTTATTTGCTCATTTGGTGTTGGCTAAAGACGAGTTTNGAGCGGTTCTCTTCCTTTCACCAGTATCTAGCGGTCACATTGGCGCACGTGGATCCTTCAAAAATCGGGTGATCAACAGCCTGAAGACAGGGAACGCTGATGGAATATAACAGCCGAAGAGATGGAAAAGCCTTTGCCACATGCAACAGCCGCGCTCCATTTTGACTACTGGCTAAAAGACAGGTACCGGTAGAACAATGTGCAGAAAAAGACGAAACAAAGTTTTACCCGGAAAAAGCCTCTTTGAGCGATGGGGTGATTAATCAAAACAGCACTTCAGCTGGCGTCCTTCAACACAGCCTCCGGTAAAACTCAACAAACTGAATGGAACAAAAATCTAGCGTGAAACATCATTTCTCTAACGCGACAACTCATCTGACCAGGATGGTCTGTACTATGCATTTTTCAGAGGTTGTGAAGCGCCGGTGAACAGAATGACGACCTCACTACGGAGCAGAAACACAATATCTGTCAAATGAAACGCCTCGAGTGGTAGCCTAGTCTTCAAGAAGAGCACAAAAACGTCATGAGTGAACACGACCGAGGGCTGGACATCTATGACCTGGCAACCAGGCACAAAAAACCACCAGTAAACTTAGTGGGGACAACTGCCGCCTTCCCGGAAGGCCACCCCAGGACTCAACTTATCAAGGGTTAGTGACAATGGTAAATATGGCTTAGTCACGCAGTCAGTGTCGCTCGCGCATCAAAGCTATCGTTCAATGCGTAGCTATCCATTTTCTCGTTTCCTCATATAAATGTCTGGCGAAATTCGACTAAACGTGAATGGTTCTAAGTTGATAACATAATGACGGAAAACTGAAATTTTAAGGTGCCGAAGCTAAGAGGACCGAGCGCTGCATTAACACCCACTAACCGACATTTATTAGGGGTAAGTCAGATTTCAGGCATTCGCCTATGTTATGTCTACTGCTATCCCCACTCCAGTGCCTTAGTGCGGGAAAAGACTCGTCAACAAGGAACATAACAACTTCATTGCGAACAAGCGAGTGCAACGCTTACAAGGGGGCTCATGCAGTCTAAACAGCAATTTTCATTGATCCATGGTATTGACTGGCCTGCATGCTTGCCGGCTCCCTAATGAAGTGCCTTAGTGCGGGAAAAGACTCGTCAACAAGGAACATAACAACTTCATTGCGAACAAGCGAGTGCAACGCTTACAAGGGGGCTCATGCAGTCTAAACAGCAATTTTCATTGATCCATGGTATTGACTGGCCTGCATGCTTGCCGGCTTCCCTAATGAGATTTTAGTAAAGTTTGAGGGCCTCAGTGGGTTTTGGGCATTCTGAAGTTATTTTGGGGAATATGACCTACATGACCGCCTGTATGTTCGAAAGTCATGTGTGACACTGTTGTTATCCCGTTCAAGGGTAACAATGCACCCAACAATTATACATTGGGGCTGGACATTACAAATCGGGAGGATCAGAAAAAGAAATCCACATCGCAATGGACAGTGTGTGGTGATTCATGTCCGGTGGCCAACCAAAGAGCCTGTTCATAAGACTGACCGTATCAGATAGGTCAGATTCCTGGAAGTAACCACAGAATGCCCGACATCTACTGAGACCCTTAACTCCACTAGATGAAGAGCCCGGGAGTGAAATCACGACGACGTCAACGACATTGACGGAAATGACCCAATCGCGCAGTCAGTGGCATTCATGCATCAAAGTTATCGCCTTCAATGCATAGCTACCCGATTTCCAAATTGAACACTCCTTCGCCTACAATGCTTGGTTGTATGTCCAAGACTCCTGTTTTCCGGTGATCGAAACCATAGCAGCTGGAACCGATGTGCCTATGGAACACGGTTTATAGCTGACAGATTGAATCGATCGACTGACCAGACAGACAACGCCCCCACAATACGCAGTGCGTGACAGCCCCGTATCTAAGCCAGGCAGAGCGAGCCAGCGTTGGTCAAGGTCAATCAGTGTCCTTCCAATCAAATAGCTTGAGGTCGTTGTACTTTCGCACTCACGCTCTCGCACTCGCTTGTTCGGAATAAACCCGTTGTGTTCCTGGTGAGTCCTTTTTCCGACACTAGGCACTGGAGCGGGAACAGCAGTCAGACAACAGAGCGCGAAACAACCGCACTGAGGGGAGGGGGGGAACCGAAATCCCAATTGGATGTGTTCTGTTTTGTTTAGTCCCGGTTTCGAAAGCAGGATACTTCTCATAAATTTTCGCGATCTCTTCTACTCTGTGTATGTAGTGAACCATCGCTGTGTACAGAAATCCCAGCTGTCAAGCTCACTAGGCAGTATGTGGAATGCACACCAGAGTTAATTGGTAAGGCCATACATCTTGGTTCACCCTAGCTAAGCAAGAACAGAAATGCAAAGTGGTACCCATATGTGCGGATCACTGAAATCAAGTAATTCCTGTTGGGGAGGGGCATGGCCGGATAGTGTGGCTTTACAGAAATGAGACACGAATCTACCGGTACTCTGACGTTACCGCAATCGCACTCATTTCCATACATTGCATATGTTGTCTTGAATGAAATAAGCAACCTACAGTAAACTATATACTCCAGATTGCGTGCCGATCGATTAACTTATCCTTGTGACATCATCTCCATCATGAATGTGCCTATTTGACCGACTTAACACGCATGATTGTTGGGACTAGGCCTGAGAATCACACATCGATTTACGATTGCCAGTGAGATACTGCTAGCGATGGCAAATGATCATACGTATTCGCTTGGTTAGTCGTTTTTCAGCAGTCCACGAAACACCGGGAAAAGTACCCTTCACTTTAGCAAGGATAGCAAAGGTCCAATAATACGTTCCGTTGCTGTTCTTTCCCCGGCGATCTGCGAAATGAGCTTCAACAAAACAATAATATAAGATCACTTATCCATCAATGTGAAGGGACCAGCAGGCGCCAGGCTATTGCTTGCAGGGATGATCCCAATCACAAAAAATCCCGAAGCCATGAGTGTTACTTTCTGAATTACATGCCCGGAGGTTCCTATAAAGGGTAACTATGACAGGATAATCACACCTCGTATTGACAATCATCATTTTAGTGATGGGTTCCATGTGACTCTCCGTCAGTCCGAATGTCATACGACCACCCTCGTTTCTTCATCACTGTCTTCGGGAAAAGACAAATCTTGAATGAAGATGGACTACCTCAGCGTAAGGGAATTGGAAATAGCTCGCATTCCTTGTGCTGCAATACCACGTTTTCTCATGACTAATACTTCGGAGCAAACGTAAAGCCTTATTGCTTTACATATAAAACTAGTTTTCCAACTCACTTAGCTCATTCTAAGCACACAATTGGCAAGAAATATGGGAATCATGTAACTTCATTATCAATTGGGCTGGAACAATCAATACAACACTCTTTCTATTGTGAATTAGAAAGAAGACGTTTAGTCTCATTAAGGGAGTAGACGTATTTCGGAGGAGTGCACAATACACGGGCTGCGTCGTTTAAATGCACCGTCTTTCGATGCACGGTGATCAGACACAACATATTTCAAAGGAATGCTTTTTAATGTGCACATAAAACGGAGCAAATGGGCATCAGAATGGGCATCATGAATGTTAATTTCGAGAAGCCACATCAATATTCATTCAAAAATCCTATCACTGAACGAGTTGATANTTGTGAGTGAATTAGAAAGAAGACGTTTAGTCTCATTAAGGGAGTAGACGTATTTCGGAGGAGTGCACAATACACGGGCTGCGTCGTTTAAATGCACCGTCTTTCGATGCACGGTGATCAGACACAACATATTTCAAAGGAATGCTTTTTAATGTGCACATAAAACGGAGCAAATGGGCATCAGAATGGGCATCATGAATGTTAATTTCGAGAAGCCACATCAATATTCATTCAAAAATCCTATCACTGAACGAGTTGATATAACTGTCTTATGGCATCCTGTGATGCATTATGAGTGAGGTGTTGAGTCATATAAAACAAAACAACGATCACTGACATATTGGACAATCGAATCATGAAATAATAGGTGGTGCTCCTGTCAGCATGACTGCAGCTCTAGCACATATACGACACGACAAAACTACATGAACTGGGTGGTTTTCATGCACGACTTCTGCAAATTTCTCCCCAGGATGCAAATGAACAAAGCCGAAATACATACAAGCTGTCCAATAGTGCCGTGTTAGATAAAGCCGTGACCAAGGCAGAAGCGAGCTCGATTTCCACGAGCCTCACTCTCTGATGATCGGTTAACCTTCGTAAGATAATATCAGAGAACACCTTGGCCAGACCGTGTTGTATGTTGTTGTCGAAAGTATGTTGACACATCCTATTCTGCAGTCGTTCCATAGCCTCTGCGATTCACCGGACTGTCATGAGCCTGATGCCAGGCAAGCTATAAGTAAGTATGAGTAAATAAGGCAGGGTGCAAAGTCCAGATTTGCGAAAAAGGTTCCTCAAAATGAAGATGAAACAAACCTCAGTTAGTTTATAAGGTACCTCACACTGTGACCGAATGACTGGACGATAATAAAAAGGACGGGAATATGTAGCTATCCAGTCACCCACACACTTGGCTGTTCAGCTGTGTTCACTAGCAGTTCCTGTTCCAGCGGAATCGGCTCTAACGAGGAAGGTATTGCATGAACAGTTCCGGGGACGGAGCGGGATAGCATGTCTACCACAACTCCATTTGTTCCCCGGCATCGACCTCGTAAGTTGAGCTTGTTAAAGGAACTGGTCAGTGAGGTGTTCCTTGCAGTCGTTGCCGTTGTTACTGCTGCAGCTGATGCTGTAACTGGCAGATTGGGTGGTAAGGGTGATGAGAAGGGTTCTCCGATTCGCTGAGCACTCGGACTGCTTTGACACCTAGAACCGTTGTACTTAGCACAAATAGGAATAGACAAATCCGTAGGCAATGACTGATGTCGGAGATTCCGAATTGGAAGATTTGGGGAAGATCGGTTTGGACGGGGGGTTGAGGAAAAATGATTATTATTATCGGAAGTCATGAAACCGGTTCGATTGGATTCATCCACGGGTGGGGTACCAGATCGAACAGAGCAGGCAGGAATATGAATAGATTGCACATGACGGCATTCTGAATTGAGCGAAGATGTAGTGGACACTGGACGAGACGATTCGACAACACCAGGCAGACATTCAAAGAGTCCTGCACTCTCTGCAATCCCACTGCTTTCGCCACTTCTTGTCGGACTGACAGGAATCACTTCCATCGCTTCGTCGAGCCGGTAAAGAGTTGAAGTATGGGAGGGCGCAGGAAAATCCATGGGACAGCACTGGTTATTACCGGTGGCAGTGTATCGCGCAGTCCCTGCATTTACCTTACGGGGAATCACCGGACTGAGGGGAAAATATACGGGATTTGGAGTCGTATTGATTACACATGGGTTGACTCCTTGCTCCCTGCGCGCGCGCGAGCCTGTGTGTGCTGACTGTGTTCGATTTCCCTATATGTAGGTCCGTTTGCGTAAACGTGGGCGCGTCAGCACATGAGTGGTTGCTACGCTCACTAGACGGTGCGGACAATCGACGCCTGATGAGTCACCCTGATGTGACGTGGTTTGCGAGTATGAAAAAAAGACAAGTCTCGTGATCCGATGGGCGACTGTGAGCTGAACAGTCAAGTGTGTGGGTGACTGGGTAGCTACAGCTTACATTTGCCTGCTATCCTGTCAAGTGAGCAAACTTGGAGTGTACTGGGAAAGCATAGTCATTCCAGTTGAGAAGGCACGGAAAAATTCATTGCATTCATTTCATTACAGAGGCAGTGTGAAACATGAATTGAAGTCCAACCGCCAATCCGAACAGAGTCTTAGGACGGTAAATAAGAATGGAAAGGCTTACCAGTGGTCAGCGGTTCACCCGTTTCTGGAGCGAACATAAACGGCAGGAACTCATCTGCATTTTTTCGAACATACTCCGCTGTGATGAGTCGTAACATCTGAGATGTGATAGCATCATCGGAAAATTCAGATATCCTGGAACCACAACCGTTGATTTCTAGTAGGTCTTGTGCTGTACGCTTCTGAATTCTGAGTTGATGCGCAACGGAGGAATACAAACAGTCACCGTCGGAAGGAACCTAGCAAAATGGATGATTTACCCGGTTTAATGATAATTTATTATTCACCTTAGGTGTGTAACACTAATCACCACCTAGAACTTGAAAAATTCACATCAAGTAACGAATAATATTTAGGAAGTGAGTGACATCAACATTCTCAAGTTCACTAGTAATTGATGTTCAACTCAGCTCACTTAATAATAAAAATGTACTGTTTTATAACTTTATATTCATAACATAGTGTAGAGGTATGCAAAACAACAGGGAATCCGGGAAACCGAAGTAGGCACTTCACAAGCCTCCGAGGTTAAGTACCTGATAGTGGGATGCCTTCTGAAAGCCAGTTTCACACTAATGCATTGTTGGAAACCAGTGTTCCAAAATAACCATCTGACGAACTGGAGTCCTCACGTGTGAAAATATTTAAATAATCAGCCAGATGCTATCAGTTTGCGATTCCTTGGACGGAAGGTGAAGGCGGAGAGATGACTTCATTTAAATTATCCTATACTTTAAGCACTAGATCGAAAGCCAGTAATAAAGGGGTCTGTAACCTACAAATCGCCAGCTTAGAATCACTTCGCGCCGAAGTTCAGATGATCTCTTGTACGTTTTATTACGTGTTGGGCGGTTCACAGATGGAGGGTTGCGTTATAATAAGACCCGTAGGAAAAAATTACACAACAGGCAGAAAAAAGTACAGTCAGAGGGGTTCCACGGGGACTCCTTTACTTGAGTATTGAACGGCAGAACTTTATAGAAGGAAGAGAAGGGGATGGTAGTGTAGAGTCATAAATTTCTACAGTTCTTGGAACTAGGAGAAAAAGCAGACGATGGGGAAGGGTTTGACCAGGAATGAGGTACACCGCCTCATCAAAGTCAGCATGGCTTCACTTAAGCTATCCCCACTTAGTACCAGTAACAATGAGAGGCGGAAAATGTACAATTGACACTAACCACGGTCACCTCTCACAGTCCTTCATTTCCTCTACAGTGACTGAGCGCCTACTGTACACCTTGCAACATGCATGCACTCCATATATGTGGTGACTGAGCCATTGGGAGTCTTGTGCCCTACCGCACCCATCCGATCCAGGTAGAGCGGCTGTTACAACCCCCCCCCCCGCCTAGATACTACGTGTGTGCTACTCTCCGGCTACGAATACCAAGACACCCATTTATGTTTCTTCTGAGACTCGTGCACTTATGCTGCGATTGCAGCGGTGGAATATATTCTCACAGCTAGCAGCGCCAAAATGTGACGGCCATCAACTAACTTTCTCACCACTGTCGCACATACTGGTGTCATATTCCAAGATCTTCATTACGGCGCCGCATCACGTCAGGTCATCTTCTTCGGCATTGATACCAGTTTTGAGTTTTCCATCTTGTTTATATTTATGATCGTTTTCAGACACATTAATAATACTGAAGCTCGTGAACGTGCAGTCACGTTGATGTCTCTCATGGAATCGCTCAGCAAATAAGGATACCTCAGAATTTTGTTTCTTTTACTCTTCCGTACAGTTTTCAAGTAGGGGAAAGAGTGAACCACGATGACAATCAGATCGATCTCCTCTGACGCTCTTGTTGGCTTGGATATTGATAGCCATCCAGGAAGGCGGCAGTTATCGACCCGACCAAGTTTACTGGTCACTGTTTTCGCACTTCGCTGCCAGGTCATACACTATCCACTTTTCAGTCTCTTCCAATCGACACAGGGCTGAGCGAAAAGAGCTCATCGGATATCATTCCTGTCGAATATATAGTCAAGATAGTCATTGAAGAAGAAGCATCGCCACAGACTGCCTTTATTCAGCGAAATGCCGTGGGCACTATCAGAGGCTTACGAAGATTAAAGGACATGAAGGAATTTCAAACCTCTGGCTTGACTGGATTCATCTACAGAAGAAATATTTTACTCCTGACGTATGGAAACCTGAACAGTCTGCCGTGGGATATGGAGCTTCTTGAAACACAGATGGATTTGACAATGCAAGGCCTCAGGAAGTACGAGCTCCCGGGCGTCCATTTCTGTCTTTTCGATACTCAATGTATCACCCGTCACCGGCCGAGTTATAAATATTCGTGGAACCCATCCTGGAAGGTGAGTAGCACCAACAACTCCCAAAGTTTTCGTAATATTCTTCATTCTATTCTGGTTTTCTGCCACTTCGAATTAGGCACGGAAAACAAAGCTCGTCTCGGCAGGCGGTAATTCGGCATGCGTAACTCATGGCGCAGCCACCTGACCTTGTAGTGCTGGGTGGATTCTCTGAGTGACTTATCGACTACTTCACCAAAAGCCGTTTCATGATTACCCCATTCCGAACTCGTTTGCTCTGAGGCATCGGTGGTGTCTCAGACCCTTCGCCAGTGCTGGCCAAGTTTCGTTGCTGTACAGCAATTTAGCTCGAACTGTAGTCTGATGCATGCGTCCTTGGAGACCTGGCGATATTCCTTTTAGACACCACAAGTGGCGCGAATTGGCAAAAGCAATTCAGGTCTACGCGATTAATACTTTCGACTTGTATGTCACAATACCGTCATAGCTGATGCAATCCCGAGTATTGTATGGTATTTTATAACTTCTACAATCACTGAATTCTCAGAAGCATGTTTAAAGATTATACATCCCACAATATTAATTAGCTTTTTGCGGGTTTGAAGCACATGCCGAAGGACTCGATTAGCCTTTCTAGTACTGCATGCAGTTCCCGTTCTTTTTTGAAGAAATGAGAGCAATGTCTGGCTGTTTTGCTGTAGGGCTGTGAGACTTGACCTATTCGAGCAGCGGAGCTGAGACGTCTTCGGGTCTTCAAGAACTGCTAGTGTGTTAGTGTAGGCGACTCCGTAACGAGACAATTAGAAAGCGAGTGTTCGGCTATGCGACGGGGACTTCCGTCGAAAAATGCCCCAGCACAACAAGCTGTGTTGGTTAGGTCATGTATTGCGTATACCCAATCATCGTTTGCCGAAGCCAGTGCTGTTTTCCATGCCCAATTCAGAATGGCGGAAGCAGAAAGGTGGTCAACCCTAGACCTGCCAGAGGGGTAGGAAAGAGACACCGAAACGTTTGCTTTCATGAGTGTCTGGAGGTGTAGGCACCTCGGAACGACCGAGGCATACTAACGCGAAGTCACATACTTGGTCTGTTTCATCTCTTTCTTCACAATAAGGCTTCCAAATAGATTATGGTTTTACGACGGCATAGCAGATGCCATGCTCTTCATGATGATGGTGACGACGCAAGACCGAATGGGCTGAAACCTGAATCTCATGCTTGCGTATGAGCCGGTTTATGTAGTAGGTAAAATTGTCTACCTGTGTGGGTGTATCGGTCCGGGTGACCTAACCAAAGACGATAGTAACATCCGAGTTGGAGCTTTCGTGAACCTGCATCACCCATTGCACATACATGACATCAGGATCGAGTTTGCAATGCTGTGGTACGCTCCATATTGTTTTGTGGGTCGGAAACCTGGTCGCTGCATGCTGTGTTTGCCCGTCGGTCTCCTCAGAGCCTTTCACAAGTCTGGCATAATGCTGAAGTGCGTCGAATGGGCTTCGGACTGACCACATTCCAGAAATTGTGCTGGTCCGGTTAAGTGCTCCTTATGCTAGTCCGACTTCCTCGAAGAGCCCTTTTCACACAACCACGCGAAGGGTGAAAACGACCCGAGGGAGATCAAGCAGTGGCTTGGCAGCGAAGTATGAAAGCCCTTACTAGCAAACTCAGCTGCACTGGTCATTGTTGTCTCCCTAGATTGAGACCCCGACACGGGACACATCAACGGTTAGAAACACTGACAGACATGGCCCAGTCGTGTCCTCAATGGGGTGCATGCATCCGAGTTGTTATCGTCAATGGATAGCTTACCCTCCGACATTACCAACGTAAAGACGACTAACACTGCTGAATTCACGCACCAATTATATCAGCTACTGTACGCAATGCGTAGCTATTCATCGCCATCGCCCAGGATCATGAGCAAACGAAACTGTGACAGCCATTGCCACTTAACATGTGCGCGGTTCTTACGGCTGATGACCTGATGACTTCACGGGATCCACGTTGGCAGCCCTCAGTCTTTGGACAAAGAAGTCCACATATCGAAGCTTGTCTGGCAGAGTTCTATTTCTTCGTATTCGGCTGACCACATGGAGACCCCCTCCAAATTCTGTCTATGATCACCAGGCAAACGGGTCCCGTCCACCATAGGCAGCTAAATGTGATCAATGACTCCACACCACCACAGAGTCCGTCGGAGGAGCTCCATATCCACCAATCGTTCAATGCAATGAAGTCCGAGCAAAGCAGTTCCAGCTACTACCTGATCAATCTAGACATAACGTACATGGAAACTGAGCCTTCCTCAAGGTGTTATGCAAATAATATTAATCAGTCAGCTTTGACACCCCTTCGGTGCATAGCTGCCACGCCACCCAATGAAAGCACGAGGGCTGAGATACTGCCAGGTTATCTACGCCTAGACAGCAGCAATCGAAATGCAGCGGTTGGGTTCATTTCTAGTTAATATAAAGCCGACGACGACTGTAACCAGAGTACATGCAACAGCTGCCGAACATTTTACACAAAATTTGTGGCATTAGGCATGTAGTGCCTCCTTGTGGATGGAGAGAAGAGAAACCGGCGCCGGTTGGGAGATGAGGTTTTCCCCGTACAGCTGGGCTACGGTATCTATAGTTGGTCAAATGAGATGTAGTTGATTTCGCTTCCGTCAATATGCATGTTTTTCCGTTTAATTTTTGTGCATATGAAAGCTATAGAGTACAGGTCACTACGGGGGATAGATAACCAATAAGGTTCAAGCATATCTAGATATATGAGACACATCACCGGTGAACCTACCTCGCAAAGCCGTAAATTTCTTTCACCCAATCGTTGTTCAATGGCTTTCAGTTCCTTGAATCGGATGCTGTTGGGAGCAGAGGAGGCTGCTTTGGCGAGGGCTTGTTCTTGGGCTCGACGTTCATTTGCCCGTTTTTCTCGCCTGCGAGCTGCACGACTGGTTTTAGTCCTTTCATCGTGCATTAGCGGTTCTGATGATTGCCCAGTAAATTACACAGTTTATATAGCTTACTTGTTTCCAGACTGGCGTGCTGTGAAAACGTCGAAATGAGTGCGCTGTCTTTAGATGATGGTTCAGTTGATCTACCATGAGAACTGCTTTGTCCAGTTAACCGTCCGTTCACCATCGTTAGATAAACACCAAGTAACAGCGAACGGCCGACACTCGAGATTCTCCTTTCGTAGCAAGCCAATAAAAAAAAAGTTCCTAAAATACTTCAAACGAGTGCACCTGAAAAGTGACCACATATGAACTCATTCTACATGGGAATGAAGGGTTGGGTGTGTCTCTAAAGAGAAACACAACTGAAGTGAAATGCCGTACACTGAATGCAAAGCAACGTAACGTAGCGTAAAGTAACGTACCGGTGTGTCGGGTAGGAGTTCAATAACTAAGAATATTGTGAGGGGGCTACCTCTAAACGAACAAACCCATTTTACTAACGATTTGTCTTGCATTCTTAAAACCTGTTTCTACATTTTAGCCCCTCAGTGACATCCATTTGGACTGTTAGCTCTCTTTATTATCTGATTAGGTTGAATTCCGTATCACGAAAAGATCCACCTGTTTGCCCGTCACGAAGATACTAGGCCTTACCGCGATGTGGCAGTCTGTGTACCTCGGTGACCCATTGAGCTATTCTGAGGGGTGTGCGCGCGACACTCACTGAGT